AAGATATTACCTGATCAAGATATTTCCATAGTTTTGGAACGTATTCAGTTCGTAAAATTGTATTGAAGATGTATGTAAGATAAATAATCGCCTTCTTGGGCAATTATTTTATCATTCTAGGACTGATTTCATCGTAACCTGGTGCTTTTTTTATATTGATGTTGTTATCTATTTCTTGCGCTACTTCTAATGGTGAAAAATATTTTATTTTCTCCCAGTTTCTATTTAATTGTAAACTATGGAGTCCGTCAAGTTCTGAGAATATATTATTCGGTTTAAATACAGTCTCTAAGTAACATGCATTTACTTCACCTTTTTCATATTCACTTCGTACCCACGTGTCGTCTTCTTTGCGAATAGGTGGCACGTGTGTTAAAGGCCTTTTTAGTCGTTTTCCACAAAGAGTAGTCAGTAACTAGAGGTTGCAAAAAGTCGCTCAAGTAAGTTTTAAAAGTTTCGTTTTTCATTTCTTTTATCTTGTTGTAGAGTAACCGACTGTTTTTTTTTGTCAGTAGGATGTCTCGTTCTTTGCCACGTTCTCCTAGCTTTTCTCTTTTGTTATGCCAACTATCTTATTTCTATTGGGTAGGTGATCTCTCAAATTGTTTCTACTGCAACCTTAGGTGTTACAATTTTCACTGAGTAAATTATATTATTGGTAAAATTATAAACTGCCAAATCGATGTCACTGGATGTTTGAAGTTTAATGGAAAGTGAAAGTGAATTTTCAAGTGACGTTCTGAATAAATCCCAGTTAGTTTTCTTAGTCGTGAAAATATACTTTTTTTTGTTTCATAATAACGTTTGTGCTTAGAGTGAGTATTACGGGCGTATGATCCGATGTTAACTCGTTGAGTCCTTCAACTTTTACATAATTAGAGGAAATACCTTTCATCACGTAAAAGTCTAGTATATCAGGAATTTTGTTAACGTTAGAAGGCCAATAAGTTGACTCTCTTGTAGCGACAGTTATCCCGTTTTAGCTATTTATTACTTTAAACGAAGAATTACCTTTAGGGGAGTTTAATCTCGAGCCCCAATGTTTAAGTTTAGCGTTCCAGTCTCCTCCAACAATAAATCTATCGCCTAGAGTCTGAAGAAATTCAAAAAGATTAGCACCTCCTTGTGGTGGACAGTATATGGCTGTGACAGTGAGGTCATTGGTCCCGTCATCTACGAGTAACACTTGTTGGTTTTTCGAGAACTTATCTAGCTCATAGTGTTTAATAGACTGTTAAATAATTATAGCTGTACCTCCACGTGCTCTGTTGGTTCGATGTGGTATAAGTAATATAATTTTTTAATTTAAAAAAAGTCCAGGATGTAAAGTGAATTTCAGATATAAGAGCAATATCTATATATTCATGACGTAGAAAGTTTTCTAATTCAAGTTTTCGCTATACTAGCCCATTAGCGTTCTACGTAATAAACCGTATGGTACGGACCATTTTTTATTATTTTTATGATTGTCTAGGTTGGTTGTTTTCTAACCTGTCTAATCTTTCAGTTAGCACTGCTTATGTTTAAATAATACTAGCTAAGGAATTTATAACTTCCACAAAGGGTACTTACTCATTTTTCACATGATTTATTTGTTCGAAAGTTTGGGGTATCTTTAAGTTTTGGACTGATGAACCAGCCATTTCAGCATATGATATGCTGGTTGTAACAGATTTCGCTGGTTTACTTTGTAGTCTTTGAACTGCTGTAGTTTTTTTTGGGTGACAAATTTCACCTGCTTTTTATATGCAGCGCAGCCTTTTTANTAATAAACCGTATGGTACGGACCATTTTTTATTATTTTTATGATTGTCTAGGTTGGTTGTTTTCTAACCTGTCTAATCTTTCAGTTAGCACTGCTTATGTTTAAATAATACTAGCTAAGGAATTTATAACTTCCACAAAGGGTACTTACTCATTTTTCACATGATTTATTTGTTCGAAAGTTTGGGGTATCTTTAAGTTTTGGACTGATGAACCAGCCATTTCAGCGTATGATATGCTGGCTGTAACAGATTTCGCTGGTTTACTTTGTAGTCTTTGAACTGCTGTAGTTTTTTTTGGGTGACAAATTTCAACTGCTTTTTATATGCAGCGCAGCCTTTTTCATTTGCGGTATGATTTTCTCCACAATTGGTACATTTTGAATTTTGTGCAATCAATTGACTTGTGTTTTTTTCCGCATTTTACACAATTAGGAGATTTGTGACAATAATTTAAAGTGTGTCCAAATAATTGGCAGTTTTTACACTGTGGAACTCCTTTTGTTTTCTTTGGTGGCTCTACTTTGATAATTTGGTGACTAAGTTTTTTTAACTGGTATATGTCTTTATTATTATCTTGAGGCTCTAGATCACCAAAAAATAATGGTAGACAAATAAATGTCCAGTCACTATTTTTATTTTTAGAGTCAACTTTTTTTTTAATTTGTATATTTGATACATGATGGGCAAAGTGTACTAGGTCTGAAAGATCGCACTTTATATCACATATGTCAGTTTCAGGGTGTAATCCCCGGATTACTACCCTAAACATTTTTTCAGATTTAAGTTGGTATATATAATATTCAATTTTTTGCTCTTCTAAAATTTTAACAGTACGGCGAAATTGATGTTCGTCTGTTAAAATCTTTATATCACCGTTGGCTAAGGTTTTAAGTTGTTGCTCATGACTAGAAGCCTCTTCGATTGCCAGATTATCCATGAATTTCTTAATATCATTAACCCCACATGCTGTAATAGGTGAAGATTTTTAGATTTTAGTAGAAGTTCTCGCCACTTTTTTTGTTACTTTGAGGATTTTTTTTGGTGAACTTATGTTAATTTCAACATTCCCTTTAATTTGACTTAATTGAAAATTTAATTTTTCGTTACTTTCATGAAATTCTGCTATTATTTTTTTAAAATTTCAATGTTCAAGGCTGCGCTGCATATAAAAAGCAGTTGAGATTTGTCACCCCAAAAAAATGTTAATAAGTTAAAATTTGTGTCCAAATATTATAGCTGACAGTTATACTTTTTTCTTGCGCTGTAGAGACATTTCTGTAT